CTACTATCCCCTAATAAGACCGGCCCAGATCCGTGCCAGAAAGAGCAGCCAGTGTGGACCTCCCAGGCCGGGACAGCCACTGCCCAAGCTCTGTGCTCATGGCTACCTGCATGCCCAATAGGCCGGGCACCACCCTGCATCCTCCAGGTCAGCTTATGTATTTATTTATTTATAATTTGCTAGAAGGCATGTGTGCTCAGCAGAGAGAGACAAAGAGAGAGAGAGAGAGAGAAATCACCCCCCAGAGGGGATGGCCATGCTGCAATCCCTTCTCCTCTATTCTCCTCTTGGGAATTTGGACACACACACACACACACATGTGCCCTACGTGTTTTTCAAGCCACCAGGTCCAAGATTCAAATCACGCCGTAGGCTGTGCGGGTTCCAGCGTCTTCACCTCCACGCTACCTGCTGGCTCAGGTATTGCTTGATTTTATTTTTGCTTTTCTCCACAGGCAGTCAGCGTGGCCCAGAGTGTCCCCTCCACCTCGAGGGACAGTCCTTCCTAGGACCCATCAGGGTTGAGTCTCAAAAGCACAGGCCTGAGGGGAACAGCCATTTTTAGCATCTCCTCTTTCTCGTTGAAGCCAAATACCGATAGGTACCTTGGACACCGACCTCCAACGCACGGGGCCTTCTCTGGCATCTGGAGGGAAGAGACCCTGGGAGGCTGGCCCAGCTGGGCTGTGTCTCTCTCCAGGAAACATTTCACAGATTTGATCACATAAACAACAGCTGGTAACGGCTCTCCGAAGTACATGAGGGTCATGAGGGCCCCTCCTTGGGCTGAAGACTTCCTAACTCTGCGCCTCTTCCTTCCTTGCGTCCTCCCTTCCTGTCTCTTCCCTTCCCTTCCTCCCTTCCCTTCCTCCATTTCTCTCTCTTCTTTCCCTCATTCATTCACTTTCTTTTCTTCCTTCCTCCTTTCTTTCTTTTCTTTTTAATTTTTCTTTCTTACCCTCTCTCCTTCCTTCTCTTCTCTCCTTTCTTTCTCCTCCTTTTTCTTTTTTCTTTTCTTTTCTCTTCTTCCTTCCTTCCTTCCTCCCTCCCTTTCTTCCTCTCTCTTTTGCTCTCGCTCTCTCTCTCTCTTTTTCTTTTTTTGGCTATAGGGTGCATACACTCCCCGAAGAGAGACAGAGAGAGAAAGGCACACACATGGATCTGACATGAGTCACGAGCCACTCTGTCCAGGATTCGATCCGTGGTCGGCCACATGGGAGCCCTGCGCCTTAACCACTACGCCACCTACTGCCCCCGCCGAGGTCCTGTAGACAGAAGAAGCAAAGCTGCCACCCGGCACCGCTGTATGAGTTAGAGAATCCATGGGGACAGGAGGCACTCGGGAAGGAGTTCCCAGAGGCGGGGCAGCAGCGTCCGACACTCACTTGTGGCCCAGCTCATGAGCGATGGTGAAGGCCAGGTTGAGCCCGTTGTCTTCGGCAAGCACACACTTCTTCTTAGCGCTGCACACGCCTCCTAAGTAAGCGATCCCTGCAGTGGAGACACAAAACACACCCTCTTCAACGTGGGAGGCCCTGGCCTTGCCCGCGGGTCTGCACGGCCTTGTGTGGTCACACACCAAGGGGCAGCTTGGGACAATGCGGACCACAGGCTGCGGCTAGAGCCCATGTGGGATTGACCTATACGATGCTTTGAAGTTATTTTACATGTATGCGTAAACACATATACATATGCATATATATGTACACACACATACAGATTCATGTAGGTATTGGGTCAGGAAAATCATGAAGTATTTTTCTGTTTTTCTATGCAAAAATGCATCATGACTTTTCTGACGACCCAATATATGTGTATGTATCTGTGTGTGTGTGTGTGTGTGTGTATTTCTTCTTCCCCTTTTTCATGCCACTAGGTCTGAGACTTGGACCCCACAGTTGGCCACACGTGGAATCCAGCTGCATTAACCATTACCACACCAGCTAGTCCCATATGTTCTTTTTAAAAATTTAACTATTCATTTGTGATTTACATTTCACTATTGTACACATTTATCACACACAACATGGTTTCTCTCTCTTATTTATTTATTTATTTTTTTTTGGAGAGATTTTCGCTATAGGGTGCGGGTGCTCACCAGAAAGACAGAGAGATAGAGAGTGAGAAATCATCCCCCAGAGGGTATGGCCACGCTGCAATCCCTTCTCCTCCGTTCTCCTCTCGGGATCTTGGGCACACGCGCCCAGCGTGAGGTTAAGCCAACGAAAAACGGAACTCGAACTGCGGTCAACTACATGGGAGTCCAGTGACATAGCCATTACGCCAACTGCTGGTCCCAGGCCCCAAATATATAAACTTTAAAAAATAATGACTACGCACATGCATCGAGCATTCAATGTGCATCACACGGAGTGCTGAGGAGAAAGGTGATGTTCTCACAACGAAATAAGAGGGTCTCCTGGCTTGGTGCTCCGTGCTAGGATCCAGTTCTGTCTGGCTCAGAGCCCAGGGCTGAGGACGGGGGAGCTAGGCCGAGGCCCAGTGTGCTAAGTTGAAGGGGGCTCTCCTGCTTAGCAGCTGGCCCTATTACCATATTCCTGGGAGGGATAGCCTCTCCAAATCACGCACCCAGGCGTCACTCTCCCCTCGCCCCAGTCCAGCCCTGGCATTGTGAGGCTCTAGGGAGTGAGTTTAGATCTGTGCTAGGGCTTTCAAAGAGCAGCGTGGGGGCCGGCAGGTGGTGCGGTGTGTAAGGCACTGGACTTCCACACGGCCGACCACAGTTCGAGTCCTGCACCTGGTGCTTTGCTTTCTCACTTTCCGTATCTCTCTCTTCTCTGCCTATCTCTGGTGAGAGTATGTGGCTTATAGCAAATTCTAAAATAATTCATTACAAAAAATAAATGAAATAAACAACCCTTGAAAACGCAGACCATGGAAGGCTGTACAGAAAGTTCAGGAAGGAGCCCTCAAGAGAGAGCACAAGGGTCAGCAGGTGGCGTGATGGCAACAGCCCCTCAATATGCCCTGGGAGCTGCACTGGGGACGGTGGTGTGCAGTGGTCAGGGGGGAGCGCCATGGTCCCCTCGTTGTGCCACAGGCAGGGCTCTGCTGGTACAGCGCCTTGCAGACGTGGCTGGTGACAACCTGGATTCTGCCTGCCAGCCCCACCCTGAAGAAGGGCTGCCTGATCCTCACCACAGACACGGTGCCCTGCCGAGCTTCACGCACGCCTTTCTCCAACTCGCAAGCGGTGTCTTAGGAGGGAAGGAATTGGGAGGATGGGCCAGGAGAACTACTGTCTTAAACATAACTCCTCTGGGGGGAACCAGCAGTTAGTGTAACGGCTACGTTGCTGAATTCTCATGTAGGCGACTGCAGTTCGAGTCCCAGACCTGGTGGCTTAAACTCACGCCTGGCATGTGTGCAT